AAAAAAAAAAAAGGCCAAAAAAAAATCCCCACCCCTAAGGAGCACCTGTCTGCAAGGTGCCGCATAGCTTGAGTGACATGCATAAGAAGAACGTCGAGCGGTTTTATTCTTTCGAGGACATTGTTGGATTCCTTCCGCTGAAAGAACTTGCTTTCCTGCTGTTGCAGCTGCAGGAGAGCTCCCCAGATACCTCTTCGCGCAAGAACCAGCCATCTTTCCTCAGGGGATGCTGTAAAGCCGAATCGAGGACCGGACCGGAGCTTGCACGAATGGTCCGACACGTTGAGTGCACCGTCTTCGGGTCAGGTCGATGGGAAAGTTCCTGGCGGATGAGGATGAGGCCGACTCTGAGGACGACTTGGAGGATCGGCAAAATCTCCAAAGAGCCAAGCGGAAGTGGCCCCGTCCTCGGCGAGTCCTCGGCCGCCTCGGCTCTCCTCTGCTCTGCTTTGGCGCTTCCCTCGAGGCCCGTGCAATGGTACGTGAAGTTTTGGCACGATCCCAACCACGTGCCCGACTTACTTCACCTTCATTGCATGGCACGCGTAGCTCGGCGAGGTTCCGCTTTCACTGAGAAGCTTTCACTGAGAAGTTTAGGAGTGGCAGAAATACTGCAATTGCATGTTCTTGAGCGTCGCGCGTGGCACCACAAACTTGGTGGAAGCCTGTGGCTACCTGGCAGTGGGCACACTCTATGGTGGTTATGCCGAAGCGTGGGCTTTCTGGGCAGTGCAGATGCTGTTCTCTGTCGGGACCTCGGCAAAACACGAAACCCTCGAGTATTTTTCTGGCTGAGTGTTCATAAGAGTTGTTCGGAGGTGATCAACGTCATGGTGGTGAGATTCCTGATTGGCAAGTTCGAAAGGCCCGAAAGGGATTCTGCAGACAAGGACTGGCGCGACTGGCTTCTGAAGCCCAACCGCCCCTTCCTTTTGGCCTTCGTGGTGGCTTCGGGCCCTTTGTGGTGTGTCATCGCAGCTGCGACTTCCTTTGAGATGCTGGATCGGTTCCTCATTCCTACATGCTACGGCACCCACACAGTGGTGAACATGTACTTCGAGCCATGGCAGCAGTGCGAGCCATGGCAGCAGTGCTCTCTTTGGGGTCGACATGGAATGACTCTAGGTCTGGTGGCTGGATCACTTGACAGAGAACATGAAGCCCATCGTTGAGGAGGAGGAGGAGGAAAGCTGCTTGCCTGCATAGTGTCCTAAAGCAAGCTCTCTGGGTGAGCTCGAAGATGCATCTAATGTCAGGGAAAACGGACGCCGGCAAGGGATGCGCAGTTGAGGGCATGGGTTCTCCGAAAAGGTTGTCACGGAGGCTTGTGGTTGTGCATTCAGGGCCACAGGTTGCGCCGTCAATGGTAGAGGCCTGTCCCAACGTCGTTGTGCAACCGAGCAAGTGGCCCCACAGATCCCTCGAGCATTCGAGCTGTCAAGACTAGTCAGCCGAGGCTCCGAAGATCAGCTCGAGCTCGGGGGTGTTGGAGTAAGGAACGAGAGCCTCGGCAGGAGAGACTGATTCCAAACACCTGGAGCGGATCAGTGGTCTTGGTGGCAAAGTTTGGATATCCGGTTCCGTCTCGCTCTCTCTCTCTCTCCCCCTCCCTC